TAGTTAGATTAAATGTCAAGTAAGAAATATCAAATGTTATCTAGGCAACCATATAGATGAATCTCAAGAGCATATACTTATTTAACAATATAAATATATGACTATATTAGTATGACCTTCTTTGAAAGATAAATCTTTGGGATCAGAAATCAGAAAAATTGTTCCAAAGAACTAGAAATAATGGAGGAAGGAATTGCTTCCTAGATGCACAGAGATTTTTGGAGTGATTAAAATGTCTACATCGTTATTTTAGTGATGTTTATGTGAAGGCATAGATGTGAAAATTCACAGAATAGTCCACCTTAAAATGGTTAGATTTACTATGTTTCATTATACTTCAAAAATGATCATTGACGGGCTGGGGATTTAGCTCAGTTCTTCTGCCACCTGCCTTGCAAGTGCAAGGACCTGAGTTCTATCCCCTGTACCAAACCAAACCAAACAAAACAAAAAAACCTGATCATTGAAAAAAAGATGAGTTTCACTATTATTCTCCAAAATACTCTTAGAAGCAAAATATTTTGTCATGTTAGAGGTAGAATTAGGTCAAAGACATAAAGAGAAGAAATAATTTTGAGGCGTACTCTGTATATAAAGTTGGATTTAATAATGTTTTTCAATCAAATGCCTACATTAAATCATAGTTTCTAAAAAAAGTTACTTTGTCTGTATTTTGCAATATAAAAGTACACCTGAATTAGAACTACTCCAAAAAATACCAGTTTTAATCCTTTAAGATGTCTGGCTTGGAAAATTATAAAGTAAAGTGTAGACATGCCCAACAACTTATTTTCAAAAGTTATCATCATAACTGATAATAAATATAATACAAATTAAATGACCACCAATGCACATGTTTATTCTAACATTAGAACATTTTAGAGTTCAGCAGGTGTGAAAGGAAAACAGACAATCTTACACCTTTGTGGATACAAATTTATTCAACATTTTTGAAAGGATGTTTGTCCCCAATGAAATATGAAAATAAATATACTTTCGTTCAACACATTAACTTGACCTTTTTCTATAGAAGTACACTGGCAAGTATACAAAATATGATCACTCCAAAAAATCACTAAAGGGATATTTAATTATTTATATTACATTCTTATTCTACTAGCTATTTACTATAAAGCAACTTTTTAAAACTCAGAGGGCTATTTTTGTACTGCTATGAGAAAATGTCTTTGATAAATTCTTTAGAGGAAAAAACAAAGTATAGAATAATAGTCTAGTAACATGTGCTAAATTAGATTAATGTACCAAATTAGGTTAATGTAATTTTTAAGTTTAGAGAGACACAGCTTCTTTATTTTACTTACAGATGGCCTGGCATTAAAAAAAATTATATAAAATGGTTTTATATATTTGAAGTGTTGACAACATGCAAGTACATATTTGTAATAAAAACGTTTAAAATTACCTGATTTACCAAATAACTGAAAACAGTTGGTCTTATCTTGGCATAGCTCCTATTATATTTTAATTTAATAAAGTAAAAATGGATCAGACCCACAGTAACAGATAAAATGATAGTTGTTTTTCTCTCCAGTACAGAGAAACACTCCAGAACAAATAAAGTCTAAGATATGTTCCCTTTTTTTCTCACATCCCTAGGGCAGAAAGTAAATTTAAGATTTTTGGCTAGAATAGTTGGGAATCCCTAAGGCTTTCTAAATTTCGGTAGAGCTCTTGAAGTACCTAGGAGACTTCTCCTGTAGGTGTGTGATTACTGTCAAACCAAGAAGTAATCCTCGCCTTCACATGGACCTGGGGAGTTGTGATTTACAGGGAAGGACAATCTGAAAACAGATTCTTCTGAAAGAGAAAGGCCCTTCATTGAGCAGTGAGTGAAATATTTCAGAGATAAGTAAGATCAAATATCATCTAAACCTTAAGAAATTCCATTGAAGAAAACTGATGTGAAAATAACTAAAAGTAAAATTTAAATTTAAAAATTAATGAACTAGAAACTAGTTTCCCAGTTTAAAGAGATTAACACAAGTGAATAGTACTGCTGAGTTAGGATATGTGTGATTTGAAGATTATATTGTATTTTAAATACTGTGCTTAAGCAGTAAAATGATTTTAAAGTTAAATTATTGGTTAATTTTTTCTGTGTTTTCTAAGTAATATTTCTTGGATTCATCAACAATGTATTTAAAGATTATCTGTTAATCATATATGTACACTGTATAAAAAGTTGAATTTTTAATTCCATATTTTAAAAATTTTATGACTATGATTTTGTTTCGATAGCCTTCCCTGGAGTGCTCAAGCTGGTAACTTATGAATATAATTTGCAAACATGAAGATACAATATGCATTTGCAAAGTTAACTTACTTCCATCAAGGGCACTCTAAAAAAATCTGGACAAAAATAGCTATAATATTCTGATTAGAATTTGAGGAGGAAGCATCAACATTCATTTACTTTCAAATACTATGCATTCAGTATTGATATATGATTTAGATTTACGTCATATACAATATGAATAATATTTAGTCTGGTTGCTTATACAAATTCAAGTACTAGGTGCCAGTAATTATGTACCAAATTCACCCCTGGAATACAAGACAAACCAGGCACCTACTGTTCTTTAATTCTTTTTTCATAAAATTTCTTTCCCTTTTCCTTCCTTCCTTTCTTCTCTTATTTCTCTCTGTATCTCAGATAATTTCTTTTTTTTGCTTTCTCTGTTTATTCCTGTTCTTTTATCCAACAAAATTTAAGATACTCTTAGTCACTAGAACTTGGTAAAATACATCACCTTACATTTTTACACTGCTTTCAAAGATACAAATAGTACTTTAAAGGAATTAGAGAAACATATATATGTATATATAAACTCATTCATATGAACAATTTATTGCATATCTGATTAGCTTATGAAAAAATTTTAATAAAAAATTACATACAGTCTTAATATGTAGTGTTGAGCAACACAAACTATGGGATTTTATTGTTTTACAGAAGTATTTTTATATTTACTATGATTAGTTTTCTTTTATAGTGAAATAAACATGGGATTTTATTTTATCATGCTATCATTTCATTTATGCATAGATTTCTGTTGAATTGACTATATGAAAGCTCAGAAGCAAACACTCATTGATTAAGTTTTAGGCAAGTTTCTATGCGCTGTTTTTGTTCTATCATCTTACAGAATTTGACCTCAGAGAAATTCTTAAATATAGTGCCATTATTATAAATTATTATGTAAAAGAAAATTGGGATTCAGTGAAGTCAAGTAGTTTACTTCAATCATTAAGTCAATTATGCATTTATATAAAAATCATTTGCCGTAATACCTGTTCTTTAAAAAAAAATCTGAGAAAAACAAAAACAGATAAGATTTCAAGTACATGTACTTTATATGATAGGGAAGAAAGATAATACAAATTCCAAAACTTATGAGTGCAATGACATAGATGTATCCAGAAATATTCAGAATAAAGTTTAATTCTGTGTTTGATGGTCAGGGCATACTCTCAAGAATAAATATTATCTGTGGTTAATTAAAGGTTAATTAAAGATTGAACAGAAACACACTATATTTGAAAGACACAGGGAAGATTAAATGATCTAGTCAGAGTAATTGGGTCAATCAAAGGTATAAAGACATGAACTTATAATTACAGAGATCTCCAAAATATATGAACAAGACATTCATTGAGAAATACTTGAGAGATTTCAGAAGAGAAATGATCAGAGTTTATGGTAAAGCACCAATGATTACAGTAGAGAATAGTGGTAAGATTAAAAATGACCGCTACTTAGATAGTGTTTATTCTTAGTTATTCCTTTTTACAACCCTAGGGAGTATAAGATTAGCATTCCCAGTTTTAACATAGAGAAGAAGGCACAGAGATAGGATTTAATAAAAAATGGACTGTTAGTAATGTTTAGGGTAATAATTCAAAACCTGGCAGTCTTGTTCTTGAGCCTGTGTTCATCATAACCACAGTATGAAAAAAGGTGAAATAAGCATTAACTGGACGATTGACTCACCAATAATATAACTGAAGAACTTGACTGTTACAAACTTGAGTGGCATTTTCTTTATGAATAAGTTGAAAAGGAGGAATGAAAGAAGATGTCCAGAAAACATATACTTTGATGACTGAAGACAGTATTATTAAGAAGTCATGAGACAGACAACTATTTATTTTTGGTCAGTTTTATTGGGTTTTTACTTACACACAATAAAACATATTAATTTTACCTGGACACGGTGGTATAAACCTGTGAGAGACGGCGGCAAGAGAATTGAAATCCCTATTACAAAAAATTTTAAATTTTAAGCGTAAAATTTGATGTTATTTTTAAAACATATAAAGCCATAGAATCATCACACCAATTATGGTATGAAACATATGTACTTTCCTAAAAGTCTATTCAAGTCCATTTGTTAGCTGTCTCTTCACACTCCTTACTAGCCTTCTGACCAACCTCTTATCACTATGACTTTTGCTTTTCTAATGTCTTCTTTCACATAGCATGTCACTGATCTAGCATGTTGTTATATCTCTCTCCTTTTTAAAATTAAATACATAGATCATAGTTCATTTATCTATTAAATTATTTTGTTTCTTCCCAGTTTTTTTTCTATCATTAATAAAGCTTTTGGAATTATTTTGTAAGAATATACATGTGAGCATATGTTTTTATTTCTTTTAGGTAAATTCTTTCTAATGGAGTTGCTACATAATAGTAACTGTATGATAAATCTATATTTATGCACTATAAAGGAAATTGCCAAAATGTTTTCCAAAAAAGCTGCACATTTTTGCATACCATTGGCAAAGTAGAAGAATTCTTGTTTTTCTACATCCTCACCAACAAAATTTGGTATTCAGTTTTGAATTCTTCATGTCTCAGTTTTATAACTCCATGTATGAACAAGCTTCTTCTAATTTGGCTTTAGACCTCCCTGACACATAATTTCTTTTTTGCAGTTTTCAAGCATCCTGGGTTGCCGTTTTACCTGGATATCACCATGTTGGCTCTCAATGACACTTCTCCTTGGCCCACTTTTTCCTTTATTGGTATTCCTGGTCTGGAGGCTGCACATATGTGGGTCTCCATCCCCTTCTGTCTCTTATACCTGATGGCTCTAGGGGGTAATGCTCTTCTTCTCATTCTAGTTAGTGTGGAACAAAATCTTCATGAGCCCCAGTTCTATTTTCTGGCCATGCTAGCACTCACTGACCTTGGCCTTTCATTGTCAACAATGCCAAGTGTCTTGGCCATCTTCTGGTTTGATGTCCACCGTATTGGCCTTAATGCCTGCCTGACCCAAATGTTCTTCATCCACACCCTGTCTTCAGTAGAGTCAGGTGTCCTGGTGGCCATGGCTTTTGACCGCTTGGTTGCCATTTGTTCTCCACTTAACTACACCAGGATCCTGACCCACTGCACTGTTGGCTGCCTTAGTGGGGCTGCCCTCATACGAGGTGCCACTCTACTGGCCCCACTGCCTTTTTTTCTCAAGGCCTTTTATTTCTGTGGGACTAATATTCTCTCACACTCCTATTGCTACTACCCTGATATGTTGAACCTGGCCTGTGGGGATGTTACTTTCAGCAGTGTCTACGGACTGGTATGTGTACTCTGCACATTTGCAGTGGATGTTATCTTTATCCTCATCTCCTACGTGAAGATCCTGGGTACTGTTATGAAACTGGGGATCAAAGACGGAAACTGGAAATCACTGCAAACCTGTGCCTGTCACCTGTGCACAGTGCTTGTGTTCTACCTGCCCTTCATCAGCCTTGCAGTACTGCATCGTTATACCCAGGAGACCTCCCCAGTTCTATATACCACCATGAGCAATGCCTACCTCCTCATGACACCACTGCTGAACCCTCTGGTCTACAGCCTGAAATCCAGGCAGATCCAAGCTGCCCTGCGCAAGAGATTTTGGGTGCAACGCGTTGCTGCTGGGGAATGAGATTTTTTCTGTATTAGAAGATGCAATCACTGAAAAGACAATGTTATTCAGGATCTTCTATCTGCTAAATAGTGTACCAAGCACCATGAGTTCAAATGTGAAAAAAATGTTCAGGTTTTTCCCTTTTATTGGGAATTGAGCTGTGAGTAATGGTACATGCCTACAGTCCCAGCACCCTGGGAGGTTGAAGAAGTAGAATCACAAGTTAAAACCCAGCCTGGGTAATTTAGTGACTTAATGAAACATTTATAAAAAATAAAAGATAAAAGGGGCTGGGGAATGTAACTCATTGGGAAGTTTTTACTTCAATATCCAATACTACAGATGAAAATAGGGAGGATTAAGGTGGAAAAGACAGGCGGAAGGCTTAAATAAATGATTGAAACTGTAACCGCGCATTGTGATTGGTAGGAATAAGAAGAAATGGCAATAGAAACCCAATTTTAATGTTTTTGGTATATATGTTGAATAAAAATTATATCAGTTCTAATGCTAAATTGAAGGGTCTAACTCTGACAGCAAAGTATCGATGAATGGCTAGTAGCATAAAGAAACCAAAATCTCACATGATACTTGATTTCTGATGGTGCTTAAATTGACCCATTAAAATTCCAAAGATGATGATGAATTTATGACCATATATTTGATATTGATTGACGTTTTGAACCCTGTAATGATTAATAAAATAGAAAGGAGCTGTCTGAAAAGAATTTATGAGTCTGCAAAATGGTTATTCTTATGCATGCTGTTACTTCACTCAGTTCATAGTTTATTTGTAATTTGTTTTGTTTCCAGTTTCATACTTAGAATAGATATTTGTATTCTGAATTCTGAAACAAGGATGAATCTCTCTTCTTTAACAAGGATGAATCTCTCTTTTTTTTGAAAAAGAAAAATGAATTAGTTTATTCTCTTCTCTTTTAACGCTAGAGTCATAAGCAAGCGAAGACTTCACTTACTGGATTCAAAGTTAATGGGAAGTGAAAAAGAAAGACTTACTTGCCTGTGGGAATAAAGAAATAGTAGAATCAGCAAGAATTTGAAGCTACCTTAAGAGAGTTTTCAATGCATTTCTAAATAATAGTCCAAATGTTCATCCAGAAAATATTTTAATACCTCTTATTAATAGGCCTCAGACTTGCAGACGACAATCATAAAAGTTACATAGCTTTACATTCTATTAATTAAAATTGTATAATATCAGAATGTGGATCAATACAATGGATGAGATTGGAGCTTGTTTTGAATTGCTATATGAAGGCACAGCCAAAATTGAGAGAACTTTTGTCTCTAAAACAGTTTTATAATCTTTTTATTTCCAGAAACACTTTTTATTTTTAATTATATTGAAAATACAATTAAGATTTTTACAAAAGTATAGAAGGGCACACAAAACATAGACACTGTATTTTAATATCATATCATATACCTACTACCACACAAAGAAATGGAATATTGTTACTGCATAATGCTTCCGAATACCCTCCCTAATCCTATCTTCTCAAAGGTTTCTGTTTATCACATCTGTTTTTGTTTTGCAGCACTGGCGATAACCAGGGCCTTTCACATGCTAGGAAAGCATTTCACTATTGAGCTACATCGCCTTCCCTTTTTTTTTCTCAATTTTTATTTTTTATTAGTATTGGTTTGCACGACATAATGATTACATTCCTTCTGGGGAGATAAGTTCAAACTTGATTATTTTCTTTATGAGTCTTTCTGGCCAGAAGAATCATGTATGATTTCCCAAGCTTGAGTATGAGAAAAGACAGGAGACAGTTTTCCTTTGAGGAACTCCTCACTTTTCTGTAGAGTATAAAACCACTACTATCGAGATTCCAAAGTGTACCTTCTCAGACGGTTCGCCTCAGAGACTAAGAACTGAGTACAGTTTTCCCCTTCATGCTTTAGGCTAGAACTGTGAAGTCATTTTCCATTTAGACTGCAACAGCGGAAAGATGCCAAATAACTTGTGGTGTCTACTCACAGTGACGACTCACGGTCATGTTTGCTAGTTATGTGAAAGCTAATACCAGTCAAAATTATAAGAAAATAGGCCCAAATCAGAATAGAAGCAGATGTGAGAGACCGCTTCAGAAAGAAAAAAGAACTAGTAGTTTTGAGTCCTTACCACCCACTATCTGTCTCAATGAAATTCTTTACTTGAATCTGTGAACTATTTTGTTAAATTAGTTTGCATTTTTTAACTCTAACAGAAAAAAAATGAAGCAACTTAAGTACACGTTATGTTTAGGTGGATTGGGTAACTTAAGTGACACTGAGGCACGATTTCATTATTTTCCTTGGATGATAAAGCAGGTAAGTTTCAGAGGCCTGTTTTTCAATGTAATCAATATATGCTTGCCTTTAACTAAATGTGAAATTCAATTTAACACAACCATAGAAAATCAAGCATATATTATTTGTGCTGAAATAAGTCTCATAGGTAAATAACGTCTCATAGGTAAATAATGTGAACTCTAAAAAAGAGAAACACACAAGTTTTTAGAAATATATTTTCTGATCAGATATTTTGAACTATAAAATAATTTTCTGTTCTTATAAAGGTTATAGTAAAATCATGCTAAGATGTACCAAAGAAAATGTGTCATATAGGGAAAAAAAAGTCTGATTCTCCTTTTTTTCCCAACTTCACTGATTCCTATTATTTTACATTAATGAAAGCACAGTATGCAGGACACTTCATATCTCTTTTGTTTTCACATATGAACCAATGTGTTAAGAACAGATATGAGGAAAGAATCCATGTTGGACATTGAATCTCTATGGAAAGCAAATTGAAAGGAAGGTAAAGAATTGGCTAATAAAAGTTAATAAAGAGGGCCGGGGATTTAGCTCAGTGGTTTCACCACTTGCTGCGCAAGCACAAAGACCCGAGTTCGATTCTTGGTATCAAAAAAAAAGTTAATAAAGCTTATTAAAATAAATTTCTCCAATATCTGAAGACTACTGAAGTACTAAAGCTGTCTTCAGTGGTAAACCTTGGTTATATCTGCTGAAGAGAGGGGGATGACTGTTTCTTTGTCTTTGTAAAGTAATGTCTTGGATTTAAGTACATAAAGGTAGGACAGAAAGCATCCATTCATCTGCTTCTTAACTGTATTGAACTCAAGAATCCTGTACATTTTGGTGAGGTATATTCTTGTTTCTCATTCATTTTTAAAGAAATATTGCAAACACGGAAATTGAAAAAGAATATTGGCTCTCCTATTAATATAAACCTACATTTTGTCTATCAGATGTAACAGATGATTTCTTTTGTTTGTAGACTAGATATTTTGGTTGCTCTTTTATTTATTATGTTTTAGATTATTTTATAATACTATAATGGTGGGTAGTAATTTAAAATAAATTATATAACAGTAATGTTTCTTCTTGGAGATCATGGAGAGATAATCCTAGAGGTTTTTTCTATTGTGAGTAGTACATGAATTTACTTTTTGTCTGATCTATCATTCTTACTCCAATATTTATGAAAAATGCCATGCTTGATAACCTTGTTTCTCAAATACTTTCTGTAACTTAATTTAAATCTTATAGTTCCCTTGTTAATGAATAAATTATTGAATGTTTAAAATATGCCATATTATACTTGTGTTAATACTTTGTTTACTGTTACAAAAGTGTATGTTTTCAAATTAAATTCAGGTTAACTGGCTTTCAAGATAAAAGTCTAAAAATTAGCATATGCTAGAATAAGAAACAAGCCTGTCAAACACTCAGGGTCACATCCCTAACAATTAACACGTGGGCCACTGCTCTTAGACTAACACAGGTCAAGGAGGCAAAGTGATAGCACCGGGTGTTATTACTACACAGAAGACTATTTATTTTAGAAAACAAAAGCAAAACAAGCAAATAAACAATAAATTGTGTTGAGTGTAATGTTTCCATTGATTTAGAAATTGAATTCATAAATGTAATAGCGATAACTGAAGCAATATTATCAATTATTTATTTTTGCAACCACTACATTATGACTATATTTTAAAAGTATTTGTAATATTTAACTTTCTTTATGTAATTTCAAAAAATACTTTTCTTTCAGTATACATTAATCTTCATTTTCTTAGTAATGTTTTTCAAAGAACCATAGAGTTTGAAATATTTGATGAAGCCTAAATCACTACTTGTTTTTATCTTTCACATCTTTTAAGTTATCATAAGTTATTTCCTAACCAAGGATTAAATATATTTTCTATGAGAATATCTCCCAGAGCTTCCACACTTAAGTCTAATTGTAATTGCAGCTAATTTTGTGTATGATATCAAACTAACAATTCTGTTTTTCCATATGAATATACTGTTTTACCAGCAATATTTCTTGAAAAAAAATAGATTGTATACATTAATTATCCTGATATAACTGTCGAGTAAATCTGTCATATATGTGTGGTTTATATCTGAACGATCTAATGTGTTCCAATAAACTCTGTGACAATCCTTATGCTTATAGCTCTCTATCTTTATTATGAGGGCACTATGATGAGACTTAACATACTGTTTTTCAATTTTAATTTCAAAAACATCTGACTCCTCTAGATCCTTTGTTATTCACTTGAATTTTAGATTCAATATAAAATATATCAATTTTTCCCTGATTCAAACTTTATTGTTGTTTATCATGAATTATCTCAGGAAATAAGACGTATCTTAATCTTGTTTTTCTTCTTTCTCTCTCATATCACCACAACCAAAGAAAGCTAGTTATCACAAATATCTCATTAAAATTTTAACTCAAGTCCATTTGTGTCTGAGAATTTATGATAACTAGATTTCTCTGTCTACAGTGGTCTCAGAATCCTCAGTTAACGTTTTAGCTAATGATCCTCTGGTTGAACATCCCTAAACTCTCTTTTTACCCCATTAAGCCCACAGAGTCTGGAAAATGTGGGAAATGGTTGGCCAATTGTTGTACTAAGAATATATGTTTTATAAAAAAATAAGAAGAGAAAAAGGGGTGGGGAGAGAGAGAGCCTGAAATTTTTCATAAAATACCATTGGGACCATTAGCCAAAGCAATAAGTACTCCCATGAAACTTCAGTCAGTAGAACTGCAGTGCCAGCCCATTCAAGTTCTCCAGCCATAGTCATCAAGGTAAATTTAAACATTAGCGTGACATGGAATCTACCTAGCATATGGATGGAGAACCAAAAAAAAAAAAAAAAGAATGTAATAGTTAGAACTCTTTTTCCTGAGCCCTAAAAAGTCACTTGGTGTGAAGATAAAAATATTGTTTTATTGATCTTAGCCCTACTTAGCCTTTTTCTAAGTAACGTTCATCTGCTTACCATGTCAATGTTGAGAGGGGCATGCTTCCAAGATATGACGTGTACATTATTACAATATAACCTTAAGTAAAAGCAGGAGGCTTTATTATGTAGGAGTGATTAAAGAATCATGCCCACAATTTTCTAGAATAATGCTGAGGTCCATTTGCTTTTATTCAAATAGTCAAACACACCCTCATCTCAGTTCGCCCCTAGAAATAGTCTCAAAATGTATTTATTTTCATCCAGTCCTTCCTTTTTAAGTCATTCTCCACAAAGCACCCTGAGTGAATTTTCTTAAATGAAAATGTGTTCATATCAACCTTCTGTTTAAAAGCCTTTGGTGATTTCCTAAGGGTCATTACAAAATAGAATCTCATCCATGCAAAATATCACCACATTATGACTCCAGCCAGGTCCTCTGTTTCCCTAACCTAGGTTACCCTTTCAGTTATTCTTTCAAACATGGACAGAGGACAGTCACCTGGCCTCTCCATTGACAGGTACAGTATTCCCTTCCTTATGCCTTCTCCTGATATCATATAGTTGTCCTTTTCATTCTACACAAGTGTAGAAACATCTGTATGTTAATGTAATACCTGGACTCTGTCAGAGGAAACACAATAGTAGAAGTCTGGAAATGGCTTTGGGTATTTATTTCTGAAATCTAGTTTTATAAACCATTCAAAGAGTTAAAAGTAATATCTCAGCCCTATAACATACATATTAGTTTAGTAGAACATTGAATATCAGTAATTCTTGAAGAGAGAAATAAAAATGTGTGTTTCCCCGATAAATTGTTACATTAATCCAAATATTAACTGCAGTATTTCTTTTCTTTTAACTTTTAGGAAAATAACCACATATATCTAGTGAAAAGTATTCTCTTCCATATGATAGTGACTTTACAGTGAATGAAAACTATTCAATTTAGTTTCTCTTTAAAGTTTGTGAAATGTTTTAAGATATGATGAGAAAAAGTCATTTGGCTCCCTTATAAATACTAATATAATCATACTTCTAGATTTTATAGAAGTTATTTTTAGTAATGATGTCTTGATGGAATTAAGTCAGGATTAAATTCCCTCATAATAATATACACTTTAGTAGCAGCAAGAGATACTGTACTTTTTCAGTGTATCCTTGGAACATAAAACCTCTTACCTATAGTATGTGTTCAATAAATATGTAATGACTGAAATGTTGTATAAATGGTTTCCAAAGAGAAGATACATATATAATTTGTACAAAGAGGTTGTCCAAGGTGCATTGAGATGAGAAATATGGGGAACGTACTCCTTATAGGATTTGGGGCTAGGTATTTTATTTTTTAAAGAGTGAAATTTGGGATAACAAGGACAGGATTTAAAGGGATGAAAGTCTCCAGCTTAAAGTTTATTTATTTTTCTTCTTCATAGATCAGAATATAGTATTCTTGTCATATGATAATCTATAAATGGTAGATATCATGAAATAATTAAAATTTAATAAATTTTCTATTTGGATAACAGATAAAACTGGACCTTGATTTCATGCCATTTATCAGTTGTGAATTGCAGGCTGATTTCCTTCTTTCTGTCTAAAAAAAATACTCATATCTTTCATATTGTTACTTTGTTTATTGATTTGTCCATATATTTAAATATTGTATATACACCTTTCTTATTATGGTACTTATGTAATAGTACATTTTTATTCCCACAATTACAGATTGTGTATCTAAACTTTAGATTTACACTTCTAAAAGTTCCACTATTTCTCCTGTTCTTATCTTCCTTCTCCCTCACATTTTATTAGTTTAAGTTTTGCATTATTTATTTTGGTGTTCACATGTTTTTATCAATAATTTTGAAATAGTTTTTACTGTTCAGAAATATTGTCTTATAAAAGTCCTAACTATTATTAGAAAGAGCTAAATCTTACGTGAAAAATTAGTGTTCTCCAAAGAGGTTGTACTGCAATAATCAAGGCGTCACTTAAGTGTTTCTAAAATACAAGTAAATCCACTCATTTTTCTTGCACTCAGAAAGTTAGTTACAATAATACCATATTTTAATCAGCTTCATATTTGGGCATTTAATTTATCGGTATTTGGAAATGTCTTCTATATGCAGATTATTTTTCTTTTTTCTTTGTTGAATTCAGGGCTTCTTGTAGGCTTAACATGCATGGCGCTATTTATGTGCACCTTAGCCTTATGTTCAACTTCTAACAGAAAACTTTCTTGCCTGCTTAAGGAGAAACAAACTTCCTTTAGAAAGATTGAAATACTGTCTGCCAATTTTGCTTTTTAGTCTATTGTTTAAATTTCTCTTTTAAAAATTTTCTTTTAGCAAATAACAAAAAATTAATCTGATCATTTTGCTATTGGTTTTTTGGGGTTTGTTTTTTTTAATTTTTTTGGTACTGGGGATTGAACTCAGGTCATTGTGCTTGTGCAGCAGGAGGTGAAACCACTGAGCTAAATCCCTGGCCCTTGCTATTGGTTTTTGCAAACTTGTTTATAAATTTAAGATGATCAACTAAAATCTCATAAAACTGCCTGGATGGGGGTTTGCAGTAACATATTTAGTTAATGTATGCTAGGTATGATTTCTTCAGTTAGGATATTATATATTATGCAGATTATTGGATAATATATCACATAGGATGTTTCTTTCTTGTTCAGGTGGCTTCCTATAGTGATCAACAGTTCAGAAACAGTCGTTACCTATATTGCCTGACATCATTTATGCTTCAGGTTCTCCTCATAAAAGAATCTTAAGTAGCCCACATTTTTAATATGGAACTCTTTTCTTTAATTTTTTAAGGTAGCAAAGTTTTATTAAAGGTAGGAAAAGAAGCAGGCTCTGCAGAGAGTTTGGGCCAAGTAAAAGTAGGAAAAGAAGTACACTTTTCTTTTATTATCCCGTAACCTCAGCCTAGTTTCCTACGCTGACTTATTTAGAGAGGAATGAACGCAGAATATACTGTTTGTTCATTTTAACCCAAGTTTTAACATATATCTGCCCGAGTGGTGATTCCTAATAAAGGTACTGCCAGATTTCACAGAAATCTCAGAAGATGAAGAATTTTTTCTTCTCTGACAAAAGAGTTACTGTCATTTTACCCATAAGTCCTTTGTTCTTAGTCTTTAGTGCTCATCAGGAGCATTTAGTCAAATTAGTAGTCTTTCAAATATGATATTTCATTTTTTCCTCCTTAGGCTACACATCTGAGAAGCTGTTTTGAGCAGAGATCCTCACAGTTTTCCATGTCTGAATTCAATACCACAGTATTTCAGCCTTCTCTCTTCATCCTCACAGGCCTCCGTGGGCTGGTAGGCTCCCGTTTGTGGCTGGGACCACTCCTGAGTCTGATGTACATCATTACCATGGTAGGAAACTGCATAGTGATATACTTAGTGAGGACTGAAAGGAGTCTTCAGGAGCCCCAGTACCATTTTTTGTCCATGCTGGCTGGGGCTGACATTGTCCTGTCTGTCTCTACACTTCTCTCAGTGCTCAAGGTCTTTATCTTTGGCGTCTATGAAATTGCATTTGATAGTTGCCTCACTCAACTTTTCTTCATCCATACATCCTCTTCCACGGGCTCAGGGATCCTGCTGGCCATGGCCTTTGATCGCTTTGTGGCCATCAGTAACCCCCTGAAATATACCACCATACTAACCAGCTCACGAGTCACCAAAATGGGACTGGCAGCCTTGCTGAGGGGCATGGCACTCATGACTCCATTGCCCATTCTGCTAAAGCAGCTGCCTTTCTGCAAGGGCCAGACACTTTCCTATTCCTACTGTCTCCACCCAAATGTCATGAAGCTAGCTTGTGGCCAAGTCAAAATCAATATTTTGTATGGGTTGGTTTTGGTTATCTTTTCTTTTGGGGTTGACTTCTTATTCATAGCCATTTCTTATGTTCTGATATTTCAAGCAGTGCTGGGTATTGCTTCCAGAGAAGGCCAGATGAAGGCACTCAATACCTGTTTGTCACACATCTTTATTGTGTTTATTTACTATGGACCCCTCCTGGCAATAACTGTAATGCACCGAATCAGCCTAAGAAGTTCTCCAGTAGCACACGCAGTCCTTGGGAATATCTATCTCTTTATGCCCCCAATGCTCAACCCAATTGTGTATAGCCTGAAGACCAAGCAGATCCATGCTGCTCTGAGAAAATCTTGCAAGATCCAGAGAAGATAAAAAATTAGAAAAATTGATGATTTAGGTGAAGAAATTTTTATAATGGTTTAATAGATCCTTGTAATTTTGCATCATTTTGTGGAAATAGATATGAATATGATACTAAATATAATAAATTATGGCTTTTATGAATAAAAATAATGTATATTCATAATATTTTCTATGCTCCTACATGTCTTGACATGCAGGTTAAGATATTTTACAAACAAAATGGAAACAAATGAGAAAGGCTTGACTACAGTATTTATGTTATTCCTTGTCAGAAGCAGGTCTATTATTGTCCCTATTTCCAAATTAATTTTACGATTTAATAATTTTAAAACAGTCTAAAGAATTCAACAAATATCTTTTCCTATTCTCTTACTTCTTGGCTTCTTTTCTTTACTCTATAGTTCATTATATATTTTTTAAAATTCTCCCTCTTCTTTTACACTATTTCTAATAGAATAAACTTCATTTATATCTTCTACCCAATTAAGTATCAAGTTGTTAAGTGTCCAGATCTTAGTAGAAAAATCAGAAATTTTTTCATATGTTATTTTGTTTGTATATCTAAGAGTTGAATCATATCCAAGAAAACTCTTTCCATCTTCCCCACCAATATATGAACGACCATAATTTGCATAATGTTTATCCCAAGTTTTCTATAGATTATACCAGTGTTAGTTTGTTTACTGTCTTTTATTTGTTCCACAGTTGTGGAACACATTGTATGTAATAATTTGGAGAAACTTTTTATTGTTTATTTTTATCTTCAGAAAGGTGTGTACACATAGGTATGTTCTTTATGAGAAGAGTCCTTAAATTCAATATAACTCATAACTACATTCATGAAATTCTGCTCCAAAAGTTTATTTTTTCTAAATTCCCTATGGACATGAATGATGATTGGATCTTTGTTATTATTATAGTGTAAAGAAATCTTGTTATTGTTATGCAGTTCTCACATTTTTTCACATTGTCTTCATGAATTTCCATTTAATTGCATCTATTAAAATATTTTAATATGTTTATCTATATATTTATTTTCCTTCAAAATTTTAAGCTTTTGTTTATTTCCTTCTTCATCTATTGTAATAACCACGTTTTCTCCATCTAATACCTCATGTTCAAACGAGCTTTTACAAAGCTGCATAACCTTTGTAAAACAAACATGATTGTGTTGAATCTTTATTTTGAATTTTTGTGATTGAATCCATATTTTCTATGATAAACTTAATCCAATGCATATGAGATGCAAGGTTCTCCATGATCTGAACTGTCTGCCTTTTCTTCCCTATCCCGCTTTTACTAAAGTGTCTTCATTTTCCTGAAAAGATCATGTTCATTCAAAAAGTTTGGTGCTTGTTTCTATCTATACTGATATACACAGTTTGTTCATTGTTCATTGAGATGATTCTTGCTCATCTTTTAAAATTAGAATGATATTTAATTTTCTATAATATCCAAAACTTCAATCAAAATTTTAATAAATATAACTTTGAAGTGGGCCCAATGATTACTAAGTAGGGATAGTGGGAGTGAGACGTCAGTCTGTGTGTTGGACACTATCTCTAGGTACATAGTGTCAGAACTGAACTGAATTACAAGGTACCAATCTTTGTCCACTAGAGAATCATTTGCTTGGTGTGTGAGGAAAATGCACATATCTGCGATCCAAGGAATTCTGCTATGTATCAAGTGACCGTGAGAATAGTAGAAATACATTTTTATTGGTTTGTTCCCTATGTTCTTTTTTTTCTTCCCAGTACCAGGGATCGAATTCAAGACCTTGTGCTTGTGAGGCAGGTGCAGCACCACTGAGCTATATCCCTGGCTGTTCCCTATATTCTTGAAGCACGTCTGTGTGACATAAACACGTGTGTACGTGTGAATAGCATACAAAAAATATTTTAAATACAGCAAAAGCTCAAAATACTCTTTACTTTAAAGGATGTCAAAATTGAAAAGTCTAATACTAGCCAATTATGCAGCATATTTAAAATAATTTCCAAAAGATCATGAGGGTAATTCCAGCCATTGTGAGAGTAATATCAGCTTGGTGGTCATCAACCCATTCCAACAATATTTCAGTGCCCTGGAAAAATATGAAACAGGCTAATAGAATGTTAATTTACTAGAATCCTTATAAAATTAATTTTAAGTAACCAATTAAATAAACTCCTGACTAAAGCTTTGATATCTACTTCTTTTTATTGCTCTTTATCACCCTTTCTTCAGAGTATCGTCTATCCACGCTTTCTTTCTTGCAGTTAGTCATACACCTTTCTCTCCTCATTCAATATCATGTTTGGATAAGGTATTCCTGTAGATATGCTATTTGTCTATATAAACATGCAGTCAACATTAATAAGTTACACACTACCCTTATATAGATCTTTTCATGATTCGCGTATTTGTTGAAATTTTGCTCCTCTTGCTTTAGCATCTGCATTTGTTCTTTTTCTATCTTTTCACACACACTCTTTGCTCACTCTCCCACATACTTATTTTTAGTCATTTGCAAAAAAAAGTCCATACAAGATAGTATTTACAATACTTCAGTATATTTACCTAAGAATAAAACTGTCCTCTTAAATACCACCGTACAGTCACTACCTTTCATGAATTTACAATTGGTGCAACAGTTTAAATGTAATAGTTCATCTTTATTCAAAATATGTCAGTCAATCCAATAATATACTTTAAAAGCTTTTACCCTATAAGGCATTCATTCCAAGACAGATATTCCATTAAATGTGGTGTTTTTTAGTGTATTTAAAATACAGCAACCTCTGTCTTTAAAAAAAATTTTTTTCCTCAGGTTAAAATAATAGAGTGTAAAGTTAAGCACCTTATAATGAACAATTCAGTGGAGTTCAATGAATTAATAATTTTGTATAAATCACCAGCTCTATCTACTTCCAGGACATAGTCAAAATTACAAAATAAAAGTTCAGATCCATTACCCAGTTACCATTCCCAACTACGTCTAGACTCTGGAAAATACGAGGAAACATTGTGTCCCTATAGACTTACCTATTCTGGATTTTTAATATAATTATATAACATGGGCCTTAAGTGTCTGATTTTCTGCACTTAGAATAATTTGTCTGAGGATCATCCATGTCATATCATGTATCAGTACTTATTTTATTTCATGGCTGAATAGTATCTCACTATGAATGTGTGTATCTATATGCACATATCACTATTTGTTAATCCATCAGGCATTAGATGATAGATCAACTTTATTTGAATGATCAATTTTCCATGTCTAATTCCCGGTTAAAATACAAAAAAGTCTGTAGGCTTCTCCTCATTTTCATATGTTCCTTTTATGTTAATGGAGGTATATTTAGACATTTATTTGAAATTTATAAGAATAAGCTGATTTTTTCTTATTCTATGTTGACTAATCCTGGTTTAATTGCTTTTTCAGAAGACAATCATTAGTTACTTAGTTACCATTCCAACTTATCTTGTCTTTAAATTTTCAGGCTCCTTGTGATCCTTTAAAACAGAACACAAAAACATATACACATATCCACACCAATGATTACATATAGGCTCATTATACAATTTGGTATATTAACACATTTAGCAATCTCCTGCTTTGACAATAATTAAACTATCATCATCTTTCTGTCAGATAGGAAGAAAATACCTAAATTTTCACAAACCCAAACCTTGAAGCATACTTCCCAGAGAGCAGTAGACAGGTAAAAGGAAGAGAAAATGAGTGTGTCTCTTTCCCTTAAGATCAGAGGTGGCTACTTGAGCAGGTCTTCCCTTCTCTTGAATACCTTGCCCACTGCTGACCTTATCTGTTTAGTTTTTAGACTATAAACCAAAGGATTAAGGACAGGGGTCAAAAAGAGGAAGAGATTGGCCATGGTGACATGGAGAATAGGTGATTTAAATGTGCCAAACCTGTGAATTAAGGCCAGCATGATGAGTGGGACATAAAAGATGAAGACAGTGAAGATGTGGGAAACGCAGGTATTTAGTGCCTTGAGCTGACCATCTCCAGAGGCAATACTCAACACTGTTTTCAAAATCAAGATGTATGAAATGACGATGAACACAGAGTCAATTCCAAAGGAGCAGAGGACTAGAGATAATCCATAGATGATATTGGCTCTGACTGGGCCACAGGCCAGCTTCATCACATCAGGATGATAGCAATAACAATGGGACAAAATGACGCCCTTGCAGAAAGGCAATCTCTTGAGCAGGATCGGTAAAGGTGCCATCAGCACCACACCCCTAACCACTGCTGCAAATCCCATCCCAGTAATCCGAGGAGGAGTTAAAACCACAGTGTAGTGCAGGGGGTTGCGAATAGCTACAAATCGGTCAAAGGCCATGGCCAGCAGGATTGCTGATTCCATGGAGGAGAAGGTATGAATAAAGAACATCTGTGTTAGGCAAGAGTGGAATTCAACCTCCCTGTGATTCAGGATGAAGACGTTGAGCACTGTAGGGAGTGTTGATAAAGATAGACCCACATCTGTACTTGCCAGCATAGACAGGAAGATGTACTGGGGCTCATGAAGGGTGGAGGTGGTTTTGATAACACAGAGGATGGTGCAGTTTCCTAGGAGGGCAATTAAGTACATCATGCACAGAGGAATAGAGAGCCATATTTGTACAGCTTCTAGTCCAGGGATGCCTGCTAGAAGGAGAGAGAGTGGCTGAAACTTGCTACTGTTTGTAAACTCCATAAGACGATCTCCTGGAATGCAGCCAGATCAGCTTCCAAATATTCCTATTGAAAGGAAAAAAAGTATAGATTTCAACTAGGAAGAGATAACACATCTAACTCCTCTGGACCAACATTAAATAATTAAACCCTAGAAGCTTTCCACCTATCAGAATAACTATCTAGAATTAAGACAATGGGTAACTGTCATTAAAATGCAAGATCAAGTAGACTTCCTTTGGAATAAAACACACAATCTTTGATTAAGTGGAAATGAAAACTAAAGGATGTGTTATTTTATCTCCATCCTTAGAAAAAAAATCATTTAAAAAAGTCTTGGGAAAAATGATATGAATAACCCAATATGAAATACACTATTCTGTATAACTAGTATGCAATTTTTAAAAATTCCTCCTTTTTTTAGTATTATTGAATTATATTGTATCTACTTTTATTTTCAGTCATCTTTTCCCAGACTCTAAGAAGTTCTTGTACTTATTTCCAGAACTATATTATACCTGTAAATACTCCAGCTTCTTGAAACATGGACATTTTTTCTGCCATTTCCCCCTGAAAGACAAACCACATTGTATTATAATAGCCCCAACTCATCTTTAAAAAGTTTGTATGATGCCTTTCATTATTAAGATGAATTTTATGATTGTTTCACATTTTATTTTAAAAGATGCTTATTTTCTCAATGGAAAACACCTATAAAACTCTAAGAGATGAAATCATTAAATATGACATTTTTTCACTTCCCTGCTGGTGCTAGAAGAGTATCAAATATCAACAAACAATTCCTTGTAAAATGTTTGAACTATCTCTATTCCAAATTATAAATATAGTATATTAGGAATAATAAATAGCCATAGTAAGTAAATGTCTTAAAATAGCATAATTGGAGGAAGTGTTATCATTCTACATATTTTTCTTAAGAAGAAGAAAGAGATATTATCTGCAATTGATTGAATTCATTTAGATTTAAATGTGTTTACAATTGTAGTTCTCCATGCAGAAACAGCAAATACTGATGTGATTACATTTGAATATGAGGAACAAAGTAGTAAGGGAAATAAATAAGTGAGGTTATATAGAAGACATGCAATCCAAACACCATTTTGGGTTTTGTGATATTGTATTAGTTGAAAATATGGCTAAAAGTTAAAAACACCACAGAAATAATTAAGCAAAAGCTGATGAAGTATTCTTTTTCAGGAAAAATCTGTAAGCTCAGAATTGGGATAAGAAACTATCCTTTCTTTGTTCTCAGCCAAAGTTAGAGATTTTGCACTGTTTTGGAACTATGTAAATGTAAAATAAAATGGACAAAGCTATCTTTATATAGATATATAATCTTTATTTATAAATATATATAATTATATTTCTATAAGTGTTAATTATCTTTGAAGAGAACATCTCAGATAAATCACAATTTGCACATTTCTATCTTTGTGTAGACTGTGCTTAAGTCCTACAAGCAGATATTCTCAGCTCCAAATGTCTACTGTATCCTACTACATAATTAGTGATGAGTGTTTTACAGAGCATTTGTACATAGATGAAGGAGAATCACAAACAACACACAGAGCTCCTGGAAGAATGAAATTTTTAAGGGTCTTTGGATACCAAGGACAAAATTAGCTTAATCCAATTTTCACATAGGTACACATCAAGTATCATAGTCACTCAAGTTGAAACAAACATAAAGGAAGCCATAGTGTATAGTAGACCACAGCATGCATTCACACCACAAACAACTCCCATACTGTTATTCAACACACCGCATTTCACTGCATTAAGACAAGGGGCTCTTTTATAAACATAAAATCCTGACCAAGCACAATCCCACACCAGTTTAAGAACATACACAAATAGTCATAATATAGGTTCATATGTACACTTATGAACTGTTGTTCATGTTCTTAACTCTGGTCCAGAATATCCTGGATACATGCTCTGCTTTAAACTCATTTTTCCTTTTATCTCTGATAATGAGTCAGTTGCTATCATCACCATCAGCATCAAGAAACACCATCAACAAGCTGCAACAAACAGTGTAAAACTCAGGTATACACTTAGGCCATGTCATCCCTGATTGATTTTTAATACATATGTCCATATCCCTGATCTTTCCAATGACAGTATTTCACAAATGATTTTATGTTTTGGGTCACTCTCCAATCTAATAAGATTGATTGCTTCAATTCACTGGAAATAATGTATTCATTCTCACATCAGAATTTTTGTGTACCTTGGAGCACATTCTTAACTGCAATAATTATTTATCTCAACTAACAATAATTACCTCAGCCGATTAAAGGACTGTTCATATACAACAGTTCTCTATTAAAATATTCTTGTGTCTATTTGATATCATAAGAATTTATGAATTCCTTTGCAATATATTATTTTTTCTTACACTTGAGATTTACTCCATATTATTTCTTATTACCATTTTTCTATTACCTAAATGAGCTTCCCTGACCCATTGTAACTTTAAATGTGCTCTAAGATTGGGATCGCACACTTCACATATCTCAGTGAGGACATGCTTCAACAAGCAAGGAAGATAGGAAAGTATGTTTAAATGAATGAAGTAATAATTTAGATATGCTAACTGCACCATATTTTCCCTAATCTCTAGAAGAGACATAAAACTTGCCAGTAATGAACAATTCATCCATTTTAAACAATGATATACAAAAAGTTTTGGGGAACCATACTGTCTTCTGAACTGAACTGAAGATTAGATGCCACTAAACTTTAAAATAGAGGAAGAAGGGTGTATCTTCAACTAGACAATAATCAAGGTAGATTTTTTTAGCTTTACTAATATACAATTCTCCTTGCACTCATTTTCCATTTATCTGTATGGTAGATTACCCATCCTAGATAAAAAAAAAGATATTATCATGTAAAGTTACAAATTCCCAATGATGAATATGATCATATTGTATACCTAAAATGTACCAATAAACTTAATGAAAATTATGAAAACAGATATTCTTCAGAATATTCTGGGAGATCTAAAAGGTATTTAACTACTTTTAAGTATTTAAATTTTCTTCTAATGTCTTACTTCTAACCTTACCCAAATTTCCTTTTTGGACATAATTTTTCCAGTCATCCCACAAAGAAACACCCTGTTCTCTTGTTATGATTCTGACTCACCCTCAGTTAACTACTCTAACATTCTTCATCTTCTACAACATTCTTTTGGACTCCTCAACTAGGCTCTTCTATTTTCTCTTCTTAACTTTCTTTTCTCTTTCTTCTTTAAGGAATTGGAGCTTCAATGAGTTTATATTGTAAAACTAAGGAAAACTGCAGGTAAGCAACTCCTAAAGACAATGCTCTGTCTCTATTTATTGAGCACACTCTGTGGTAACTTCACCATGACACCAGAAGGCTCAGCTCAAGTTAACAAATGAGTCCCACAGCACAGTTACCTTTAGTATCAGCATCCTTACCAACATGAAGAATTAATGGATTTTTGAAATATTAGATACCTCTGATAGAGGCATCTGCCTGGTACCAAAATTATTTATTTCAATAAGTAATAAATTATAGAACAGAAGGTGCCAAAGGGAGGTTAGCCAAATTATTCCCATGAGAAAGCTTTCAATATGCACACAAGCGATGCCACAAAAAACAAATTACTTGCAACCAAAGTGTTGGCAAACTTGCTTTCCTCAATACTCCAGAGTCCTTAATTTATTTCCCAAGTAAGCATGAGATCACTTGTATCTCAACTGTTCAACACAAACATGTGATGAGCTCTTCTTTTACATCTGCTTATCCCTGATAAGTGATTGTTTAGTGTTTGAAATTGGTTTGGATTTTTGAGATAAATAAATTTTAAATATGATTTTTCAACTTTCAGAAAAGCTGATAGTTAGGAAATATCTCTTTGTTACCATTGTTATAAATGTCCATCTTTGTTATTCTGTTTTATAGTATTGCAATGCCAGAGATTTTTTAATCTAAATGGCAACAGGGCAATTTAGTCTGAATTACTATGGCCTCATTGAAAGGTTTGGCTTTCTGTTCTTTTTATTTGTAAAGTTATTGGTTGCAACTCTTCCCTCACATTTCAAAGTTTTAATATCTCTTTCTTGTTGTAAGTTTTTACTCTCTTTTCGTGATTTACCATGAATTTCCTATTATATCTCCAATACCTATGGCAGTTTCTGGTATATAGAAGGAATGACCATACATATGATCAATGAGGAATGAACAGTAGATACTTCTACTTTTGGCCAAAATGAAGCAAGAGGGGTTGAATTTATCTTCCCAACTAAAACAACCAAAACAGACAGAAAAAAATGTATGAAGCAACTGTTTCTAAAACAATGAATATCTGGCAATAGTAGGCCATCATCTCTGAGACAGTTAGGAAATAAGGTAAATATTAAAATTGCCACACCTCAGTGCTTTGTGAGAGTTTCAAAGTCAAAATAAAATGAAGAGAAACCTAGACAGAGCCTGTGCACTCCTGGAATTGAAATATTATTGGTGAGCATAAAGTAGCATTCAAGATTGAAGAAGACAGAGCTGTACAAAGAAACATCTGCAGAAAGGCACCTCAAGTATTTATTGCCATATTGGCCGTTTGCGTGTGTGTGGAAAACTATCTGGGACCAAAAAACCATCATCTTGAATTACAAGAGCCAATGGGTCCAGTGGTAGTCATGGTCTTAGTAAGGGGCTTTTCCTAGCCAGACTGGAAGACCTCATAATTCTTGGGGCACTCTGTAGAGTACTTTAAATAGGGCCTAGAGTGCAAAGTAGTTGATCCTTGAATAATGTTTTATGTTTATGCCTAATAAATCTTACAAATAATACTTTAAGGATCAAATTGTTTCCAGGTAACTTAAACACAACATCAAAACAAAGCTGAAGAATGTTTAGGAGGTGAGGTGTTAGGGAAAGGGGAAATAATGTTCAAAGTGTCCAAAGTTTCATTGGCCAGGGCTTAGACTGCAAGGCAGAAACAAAGCTAAGCCTAGTCATCCCTTA